ACTACGCATCCATTATATATTTAAATTGTATTATTAACGTAAAAGCACGCCTCCGTTATATATATTAGAGTGTTTATGATGATTCTCATTTGGCTTTTATAAAAAAATTATGTTTTTTTTAATAATAGTCTTTTCCTATTGTAATCTAAACTAGGTAAATACCCGCGTTACACGCAGGACAAAATGACTATCAAATAAATCAATGTATTTTTTAATTAAAAATCCAATTGTAGTTATTAGAAGAATTATCAAACAAAACCGAGAACCCTAGTTATTTTTGAATTTTGAGATCATTTTGTATTGAAATGTTTTTCCACCTGTAAAATAACTAAAAACAATATATTTTCAATTAAAAAAAAATCATACACATCATAAGACCAATCATAGTTAGTGATACATCTAATATTTTTTTAAAGTTAAGTATATTTATGTCTTAAAATTTTGTGAAACTTTATGATATATTAGACTTAATCAATAAAATCCAATGAATTTAATCATAATTTTTAATGATACGATTTATGACTTAAAGATTCAAAATTGGAAGATTGTATATATCTCAGAAAACATAACAACAAAATCATTTAAGAGAAAATTTTTGAATTTAATTAATACTGATTTTTTACCCAAAAAAAAGAAATTAATATCGATCCAAAATTTAAACAAAAATCTCATGTAATTGAACTGAATCAAAAAATTTAAAACAACATATTCACATTGACATATCATTTGTTCCAACTTATATTGTTTCCTTTCTAGATCCAAAATATTAAATTTAGAAAACAACAAATTTGATTAGTTAATGATACTGTTTATATTTTTTTTTTAAATCTCATTTGTTGTTTGCTTTTCTATCCCATTTAAATGGAACATCATTTGGAGGTTTACAACATTAGATCAACCAAAGTGAGTTTTTATTTGTGACGATGTATTACAAATATTTTTTTTGTAAGTTAGTTAAATGAAGTTGAGTATATTAATATTTGGTAATATAATTTCTCAAAAAAAAGAATTTTGAAAAATTGATGATAATAGTCACTCATAAAAATTTTGAGTTGTATTCTTCAAATTGAATCATCTATATAAAGTACTTCGATCAATTGTATTGTTTTTTTAATGGTTCAATTTTGTTGGTTAAGAATCATAGTTAAAAACACCATTTACCAATGATTTACTCTACATTTCTTTCCAATTGTTTTGATCGATTCAATTAATATGTACTTTACATGTGTTTGGCAAGAGAGGTAATTTGAATCATTTCAAAAGTAAATGGCTAAAACATGTGTTTGGCAATTAGAATAGTAGTATTTTAAAAATAAAATGTGTTTGGCAATAGAGTTAATTTGAGTCATCTAAAAAATAAATGGCTAAAACATGTGTTTGCCAATTAGAATAGTAGTAGTTTAAAAATAAAAATTAATTAATTAGAAAATGTTGAGATAAATCATGGTGGTGACACCTAAACAAATTTGCTCTAAAATGCTTCTCCTTTAATATATAGAGGATAATTCTAAAAAATATACATTGAGCATTCCGGTGAAGGTAAAATTATTAGGGATCTAAATAATTCTAAACAATATACATGGAGCATTCCAGTGAAAGTAGAATTATCGGTGATCTAAATAATTCTAAAAAATATACATGCAAATATTTTGAACAGAAGACAATTCAAAAATAACAAATTAATTTAAGATAAATTGTATATAACTTTTTATATATTTATATGACATATAATTATATCTTCCTAATTATCTCATATAAATAAAAAAATCTTTTTTCTTTAACAAAGTATGAAAAAATCTAAGACGTTAACCATAAGGGAAATAGAAAACAATAAACGTTTGAAAAAATAAAAAAAATCGCTTT